GGCATTCTTGCTCACCAATAGGGCAGGCCCCTCTGGGCACACAGGTAGACACGCCTCTAGATAATTCCACCAGTTCCCACCTGAAACAGAATTTTGCTGATGCAGCAACAGATCAAGAAGTGACTGACATGGCCACTGATGTGGACAATGACCATCACCACAGTCACTCACACTCAAACACACACATATTCACATACACACTCTCACACACACACACACACACACTGAATCTCATAAGCATTTCCATGAAAAGCTTTGTTAGGAAAAAAATCCACAGTCTGGGGTAATTACATGGGTTTTTTTTCCCCACCCTTCAAGCAGAGGAACTGCCAGGGGAACTCCCTTGAATGTGGAGTCGTCAAAAAGATTTATACGTGCAACTTTCCAAGAGATTTTCTCTTGGCCACAAAACAAGTGAGTAATTTCCCTGAGCCCAGCATAGGTTAATAATCAAAGAAGTTCGTTAGGAACTGCCCTGAGTTCAGGCTGCCAGGCAGTTAGTCATAAAGAGCTAGATGGAATTTGTCTACTCAAGCAACCGGAGAAGTGAGGAAGAGTCACATCCCCACTGAAGCCAGTTTCTCAGAGCATCTGTGGGCCAGGAGCAGGCTGGGCCCCCTCCCTTAGGACCTGGCTGCCCGCTCCCTTAGGGCCTGGATCAGTCCCCAGGGAACCAGGCATTCTTGCTCACCTAGAGGGCAGGCCACTCTGGGCACATAGGTAATCACACATCTAGATAATTCCACCAGTTCCCACCTGAAACAGAAGTGTGTGCCAGAGTGACCCTTGGTGGGTGTGGATCAGAGGCTGAGGGGGTCACAGAGCTCATCTGACCCGGGGACTCTCAGTCTCAGCATGACAGAGACTCAGGGCCACATGGGCATTGTGGGATCTTGGGCAGCGTCCCTCACCTGCCACGTGCCAGTAATAACCACGCCACACCAAAGTTGTGACAGACCAAAAACTGCCCTAGACATTGCCAAATGTCCTCTTGGGGGCTACAATGCTTGTTGCATGCCATACCCACCCAACCCAGCACCATGTTGAAAACCACTAACCTTGGCCAAACATCTGAATTTACAGACAGGGAAACTGAGGCCACAGGTCACAAGGAGAGGCACACTAGCCTCGCTCCCTTAGGCTCTGCAACCTTCTAAAGTGGTCTTCAGTCTACGCCTGTTTCTCAGGCTTCTCCTTTCCCTCCTCAGCCTCACCCCTACAGCCTCCCACTGCCCCCGCTCAGTACAAGAAACTTCACAGCCCATGAGACGCAGAGGGCAGACGCTCTATCCCATCACTGCCAGAAGCCTGCTCAACTTAAGCCCAAAGTGGACACTCTCACTGCTGGCAGGAGAGTAAAACCAACCCATTTGGAAAACATGCAGTTTATGTAAAAGTTAAATATACACCTGTCACATCTCCCAGGCACTCCACTCCTAGGTATCTACCCAAGAGAAACGAAAGCATGTGCCCATATGAAGACTTGTGTGTGAATGCTCGCAGCAGCTTTATTTGTAAAAGCCAAGAACTGGAAACAACTCCATCAACATCCGTCCGCAGGATAAAGACACTGTATTAAGTCCATACAATGGAACATTACTCAGCAATGAAAAAGAAAAGGCTACTGACATACATGACAACTTGAATGACCCTAAAAATCATCATGCTGACTGAATGAAGCCAGTCAAAGAAGGGGTCCTTTACCACAGCGGTCCCTAACCTTTTTGGTGCGAGGAGCTAGTTTCATGGAAGACAATTTTTCCACCGACGGGAGGCAGAGGGGTGGTTTCATGATGATTCAAGTGCACTACATTTATTGTGCACTTTATTTCTATTATTACTGCATTGTAATACATAATGAAGTAATTGTACAACTCACCATAACATAGGATCAGTGGGAGCCTTGAGCTTGTTCTCCTGCAACTAGACAGTCCCATCTGCAGGGGATGGAGATAGTGACAGCTCATGAGGCACTAGATTCTCATAAGGAGTGCAGAATCTAGATCCCTCCAATGTGGAGTTCACAGTAGGGTTTGTACTCTTATGAGAATCTCACGCCACCACTGATCTGACAGGAGGTAGAGCTCAAGGAGTAACGCGAGCCCCAGGGAGTGGCTGTAAATACAGATGAAGCCTTACTTGCTGGCCCTCCACTCACCTCCTGCTGTATGGCCTGGTTCCTAATAGGGCCATACTGGTCTGTGGCCCAGGGGCTAGAAACCTCCTTTTTTTTTTTTTTTTTTTTTTGAGACGGAGTTTCGCTCTTGTTACCCAGGCTGGAGTGCAATGGCGCGATCTCGGCTCACCGCAACCTCCGCCTCCTGGATTCAAGCAATTCTCCTGCCTCAGCCTCCTGAGTAGCTGGGATTACAGGCACGCGCCACCATGCCCAGCTAATGTTTTTTGTATTTTTAGTAGAGACGGGGTTTCACCATGTTGACCAGGATGGTCTCAATCTCTCGACCTTGTGATCCACCCGCCTCGGCCTCCCAAAGTGCTGGGATTACAGGCTTGAGCCACCGCGCCCGGCCAGAAACACCCTTTTTACTCCATCATCTTATATCTATGTAATTCTGAAAAATGCAAGCTAATCCCCAGTGATAGAGAGCAGATGGGTGCAAGCAGACGGCAGGGGTGGTACAGGTTGCAAGGGGCACGAGGAAGTTAGGGGTCAGGGGAATGGTCACCTTCCACACCTCAGAGGCCCAAACTCATCAAATTGTAAACTTTCAAGACTTGGAGTTTAATTCCTGTAAATCACACCTCTGGCCAGGCACGGTGGCTCACATCTGTAATCCCAGCATTCTGGGAGGCCGAAGAGGGCGGATCACTTGAGATCAGGAGTTCAAGACCAGCCAGACCAACACGGTGAAACCTTGTCTCTGCTAAAAACACAAAAATTAACTGGGCATGGTGTGGACGCCTGTAATCCCTGCTACTCAGGAGGCTGAGACAGGAGAATTGCTTGAACCCAGGAACCCGGGAGGCAGAGGTTACCGTGAGCCAAGATTGCACCACTGCACTACAGCCTGGGTGACAGAGCCAAACTCCGTCAAAAAAGAAAAAAAAAAAAATCACACCTCTATAAAGTAGCAGACAAAAATCAAATGAGTGCAGAAAAAGCACTGCAACTATAAAACCCACCAATAATTTTCACAGTAACTGCCAGTAATCGTTCCCATACATGAGTTCACACCACCCTCTAGGTAAGTCTGGTTCAAGCAGGTGAGCGCTCTCAGGCAGTGCTGCACACGCCCCATGCCGTGAGTGGGAAGCAGCAGCCACCACCACTCCCCCGACTAAAGCGGTGGAGAGTTTGGTGACACACTCAGGCATCAGGCCCATACACTGGGTTCTGCCTTGTCCGGCTGTGCCACCTTCCTGTGTGACCCCAGGCAAATCGCTTTGATGCCTGGGGCGCCCCTTTCTCCCTCTTTTGCTAATTACAGCACAGGGGAAAGTAACGTCTATTTACATGTGTAAAAAGTGAACTGCTCACTAACATCTCCATTATTAAAACGTCACAGAACTGGTGTGTCTTAAACTTAAACTGTATTTTTGCTAGCTAGGATGAAAGGTGTTGCAGATTTCCTAAACTCGGGTGAATTTTCGAAGGCATGCTGTTTGAAAATCCGGCCGGGCGCGGTGGCTCAAGCCTGTAATCCCAGCACTTTGGGAGGCCGAGGCAGGTGGATCACGAGGTCGAGAGATCGAGACCATCCTGGTCAACATGGTGAAACCCCGTCTCTACTAAAAATACTAAAAATTAGCTGGGCATGGTGGCACGTGCCTGTAATCCCAGCTACTCAGGAGGCTGAGGCAGGAGAATTGCCTGAACCCAGGAGGCGGAGGTTGCGGTGAGCCGAGATCGCGCCATTGCACTCCAGCCTGGGTAACAAGAGCGAAACTCCGTCTTAAAAAAAAAAAAAAGAAAGAAAATCCGCCCTCCTCCTAGGCTGCAGAAGCTGCCATCGCAGGCAGGCAGCTTGCCTCCGTGCCTCCTCCTCACGTAACCAAAACCGTCAGTCAGCAGCATCCCAGCCGCCACCAGCTCTCAGCAAGGGAATAAAAGTGAACCAACAGCTGTTATTTTCTTTATAACCTTGGTGAGTAAAAAACTGAGTGTGAATGTGCGTTTCAAATCACAAATCGAAATCTGCAAGAGAGCTGCCAACTGCGGAGAGAACTCCCCAAGAACTTCCGCAGAGGTATGGGCTGATTTTTGAAGTTTCCTTTTCTGCTTTATTAAAGCATCAAAACTGTAGGTGGCTTTACCTGGTACATATCGGAAGGAACAGACATTGTTCTACCATAAAGACACATGCAGGTGTGTGTTCACTGCAGCACTATTCACAATAGCAAAGACGTGGAATCAACCAAAATGCCCATCAGTGGTGGGCTGGATAAAGAAAATGTGGCACACATACATCATGGAATACTATACAGCCATAAAAAAGAATGAGATCAGGTCCCATGCAACAACAAGGATGGAGCTGGAGGCCAGTATCATAAGCGAACCAACTCAGGAACAGAAAACCACATATTCCATGTTCTCACTTGAGCTAAACATTGACAGAAAGAAAGGAACAACAGACGCTGAGGCCTACGTGAGGGTGGCGGGTGGGAGGAGGGAAAGGACCGGAAAACTACCTATCAGGTGCTATGCTCACTAAGAGAGTGATGAAAAAATCTGTACACCAGACCCCCACGACACATAACTTACCTAGATAACACACCTGCCTGCGTACCCCTGAAACGGAAAGTTTTTTAAATAAAAATAAAAACCCAGGGGCGGCTGCTGTCCATGGGTCCCGAGTTCGAATCCTGACTCTGCCACCTTCAGGAGTGGATGGATTTGGACAAGACTTTCAGCGCTCCAGGCTCCTGTCCTGCCACATGAGCATTCTACACCTGTCGGGCGGTGACCAGGATGATAAAATGACACAAAGCGCATCCAGCCCTGAACGTGCCATCCTGCAGAGACACAGTCAAGTGGCAGGTGCTATTACGGATTTTATTCAGTGAGGGGAAGGGAAGAAACCAGGAGGATGGTTCAGGAAATGTGCCACAGAAATGTCTGGAATCTGGAGCAGGCGCAGCTGTCAGAGATGCCTGCAGGCCATGGTGTCATTTACACGGCAAAACCGCACCCGACTGCTGCAGCAGAGCTATGTCCCAGTCCAGAGGGGCGCCCCGACCCCTCCGTCAGCGCTGCCCCGCCATCACCACACATACTCCTGCGAGCTTCTCACTTACCCTCCCCACTGCCAACCTCTTATCATCCTAAACACGGATTCATAACTAATGCCTGAATAGAACCACAGGGACAGGGTGACGGGGACAAAAACTCCTTAGTCGGTCGGCACCAATGGGTGCAGCACACAGGACACTTGGCAACTGTCCGTCTATCGATGACAAGACAGATTCTGAGCAGCTGCTTCATTCAGGGCTGTGCAGGTACTGGCGCTCGGCATTAAAGAGACGACTCATGACAGCAGAGCAGTCACCTAGAGAAACGGCCGGAAGTCCTAAGGCTGGGTCGCCCCAGCACAAGCATGACCCGCTGCCCACGGGCTCCATGGAGTCAGACTCAGCAAGCGGCCACTCCCTCCAAGCCCAAGTCCTGCAAGAGATGATAACGTACACAAGACTGGAAGAAAAAGCATCACAACAAACTTTGCCATACCCTGTGGGCAGACGGCTGAGGTCTCCACGCCACCTGCTCTGCCGTTCACTTCCCAGGGTCCCAGCTCTCATTCCCTCCCACTTCGCAAACCATCCACACGGGAAAGATGATGAGCCTGGATGTGGGCTGAGGAAAGCAAAATTGCACGGTGCACCTTCACGTGTGGCTTGGAGTCTCACTGGCCCTGGCCACACAGACCCGGCTTCTGGCAGCTCCTATCCAAGAATGTGCCAGGTGGCATCATATTTTCAAAACAAGGGAGAAACTCTTGGACAAATAAATTCAAGTTTCTAAATAAAATTCCTAATTTTATGTCCAGAAAGCCCCCAAAAGACAGTATCATAGTCATCATGGTTCAATTTTTTTTTTTTAGACAAGATCTCACTGTCACCCAGGCTGGAGTGCAATGCCACAATCACAGCTCACTGCAACCTGCTACTCCTTGACTCAAGCGATCCTCCTGCCTCACCCACCCAAGTAGCTAATATGAAAGGCACTCGCCACTGTGCCTAGGCTGGTCTCAAACTCCTGGCCTCAAGCAATCCTCCCACCTCAGCCTCCCATAGTGCTGAGATTGCAGGCATCAGCCACTGCTTCCTGCCTCAAATTTTTTATAATATTGAAACTCAAGCTTAGAAAATAAAAAATAAAGAAAAATAGGGCTGGATGCAGTGACTCACACCTGTAATCCCAACACTTTGGGAGGCCAAGGCAGGCGGATCACCTGAGGTCAGGAGTTCGAGACCAGACTGGCCAACATGGTAAAACCTCATCTCTACTAAAAATACAAAAATTAGCTGGGTGTAGTGGTAGGCACCTGGCATGATCCCAGCTATTCAGGAGGCTGAGCCAGGAGAATCATTTGAACCCAGGAGGCAAAGATTGCAGTTAGCTGAGATCACGCCACTGCATTCTAGCCTGGGTGACAGAGCAAGACTTTGTCTCAAAAGAAAAAAAAAAAATTAGTATCTGGATCTAACAGGAGTTATGTAACAAGAGCCAAGGTAACAGTAACCATGGAAAATGGATCTTCTAAACACACATTTCTGGAAACACAGACTGCAATGAGCCCCCTCCCTTACAACAGCCCTGATGCTGTTCAAAGCCCAGACCCCTGGCCACCAGCATCTCCAACCCACATGGTAACAGCTAGATATCAAAGCACTCCAGGCTGGGCACAGTGGCTCACGTCTGTAATCCCAGCAGTTTGGCAGACCAAGGTGGGCAGATCACCTGAGGTCAGAAGCTCGACACCAGCTTAGCCAACATGGTGAAACCTCATCTCTACTAAAAATACAAAAATTAGCCAGGTGTGGTGGTACATGTCTGCAGTCCTGCTACTCAGGAGGCTGAGGCAGGAGAATCACTTGAACCTGGAGGCAAAGGTTGCAGTGAGCTGAGATCGAGCCACTGCACTCCAGTCAGGGCAACAGAACAAGACTCCATCTAAAAAAAAAAAAAACAAAAACAAAAACAAAAAAACAACACTCCCTCTCCAAGCGGGATCCATAACCAGTAGTTCCTGCCATCCAATAAAAGGGCTCCCAACCTGCTCTCGGGGCTGTCAAAGATCACCGATCATTTGGTCACCCACCCTGCTCTCCCGGGCTGAAGAGACTCTGTTCTGGATGCTCCAGTACCCACTGGCCTGGAAAGCCCTCCTGACTCCTACCTGGCTTCCAGGATCCCTTCCTGGACTCTGCCCCATCCCCCAGGCCCCTCCCACACAGCCTTCTATGGCTGTGGTTTCTGTGTGTATCAGTGGCCTCCTGGGTGAGGTCTGAAGGTCCCTGAATGTCCCATACATCTGCCTGTTCTCCCAGCTTCAAACACGGGGCTCTGCCCAGGACAGGGGCTTGATAAAATCTTGTCCATTGATTCTCGTATTAGCCACTTCCCCTACTAAACAAAGTGAGTATAAACTTGGTCCTCCCACTACCATCCCTCAAAATAAATATTTGCCATTGCAAAGCCACCAGAGAAATCCACACACGCACACACTGCCCTCAACCCATGGCCCCCCTGTCCTTCCTGGCTCTGGCCTTGTTTAGCCCTGGCCTTTGTGGAGGGGGATGGGCAGCTCCCAGGGCACAGCAACCGGAACAAAGAAAATTACCCCATGAGTTGGCAACACTTAGCTTTTTTTTTCCTTTTGTTGTCTTCAGCATAATTGCTACAAACAACAAAAACTGAATAATGCTAATACGTAACTATTAAAGCCATAACACAGTTGAGCCCAAGCATACAGAATGGATTTCCTTTCAAATACCGACACAGTTTCGGTGGGTTATCTAACACCCAGCCCAGAGATGGACTGGGGCTGCTTGGGGCTCAGCCAGAAAGAGTCCCCCAGCTGATGGCTGAGCTCTGCCAGGAGCCCAGGAGAGCCAAAGGAGGCCCGTTCCAGCCCCAGGGGAACTGCTCCCTCTTCCTGGTGAGAGATTCGGCTCTTGCAGCTCCATTCAGAGCCGTCATTATTCAACTAACAAGGAATTAACAGCCAGCAGACAATCCGAAAGTTTAAAAACCTAATCTCCAAGACAGTGCTGGAAATGCATTAGCCATGCAAATATTTGTTTATGAACAAACAACTGAAAGAATGAAAATCAGAAGAGGGAGACAAATGGCCATCCTGAGTGTCATAAAATGAACCTGGAAAGCACTGGAAGGTTTCCCCAGGTAGGGGCTGCTGGGCTGAAGGAATGGCTTCAGAGCAGCTACTGTCCAAACAGCAGAGAGAAAGAGATACGGCCCAGCACACACCAGGCAGAAATGAGGCCATAGGGGCACCAACAGGCATGCAAGAATCTGCACAGTGGTGCTATTCATGATCGCCCCAAACAGGCAACCACTCAAACGCACTCCACCACCCGCAGAAGAGATCAATAAACGAGCACTACAATTTCTAACGACCCTCAAGACAGGTGAGTCTGTGCTGGCCACTGAACAGGATGCTGGTCACACATGTGATCAGTTTGTGTAAACTTTCTCCTTCCTCACTCGGACATCTTTATGTGATATGTCAGAAAAAGGGAGCACGAGGCTGGGCACGGTGGCTCAAGCCTGTAATTCTAAGACTTTGGGAGGCCAAGGCAACATAGCAAAACCCCAACTCTACAAAAAATTTAAAAAATATATATATTAGTCGGGCATGGTGGTATGTGTCTGTGGTCCCAGCTACTTGGAAGGCTGAGGCAGGAGGATCGCTTCAGGAGGGCAAGGCTTCAGCGATCTATGATCGTGCCACTGTACTTCGGCCTGATTGATGGAGAGAGACTGTCTCAAAATTAAAAATTAGGCCAGGCATGGTGGCTCATGCTTGTAATCTCAGCACCTGGGAGGCTGAGGTAGGCGGATTGTTGAGTCTAGAAGTCGAAGACCAGCCTGGGCAACATGGTGAAACCCTGTCTCAACTAAAAATACAACGAACTAGCCAGACGTGGTGCACACCTGTAGTCCCAGCTATGTGGGGGGCTGAGGTGGGAGGATCACTTGACTCTGAAGGTTGAGGCTATGGTGAGCCGCAATAGCGCCACTGCACTCCAGCCTGAGCCGCAGAGTGAGACTCTGTCTCAAAAATAAGTACTGAAAAGTTCCAAGAAATAAGAGAGTTTGAAGTGGTCTCAGTCCCACCAATTCCAAACCCAAACTTCAAGTACTACATGAACACTCCAAGACCCAGGCTTGATTGTTGAAGCTAAAATTAACACAATGCTGTTCCCCTCCAACCACACCACCCCCTCCCAAATCAGGTTCACCAGCCTGAACTTCCAGTAGGAGCAGTGTCAGAACAGAAGCAGACACTCGATCCGGCTCACGGCAACACCCCAGAGAGCCCTTCCAAAACAACAACAAAGGGTGGGCAGGCAGGCTTCCGGAAGCGCCCTCCCTGGAAAATAGGCTGGATTCTCCCCCACTCAAAAGGGCAGCTCAACACACAAACAGGATGGAAGTTCTGGGCAATCAGCTCTTTCCAAATCAATTTCTTTTTCATTACATAAGCTAGCCAGCACTTCCAACAATACGAACCCTGCTGCAGGGCATCCCTTACACAGAGGGCATGCCCCAAGGTGACATTTAAGAAGTGAGAACTCTTTCCTGAAAAAAGAGTAGGTCTTGTGGCTATGTGTTGCAGGCATTCATATTTTGTTTTTAATTTAACTTCTTTCAAGTATCTCAATACTGTAAGTGCACACTGGCTAAAACTAAAACTTACTGAATTGAAGCTAAATGTACTTTCTAAAGACACCATTCTGCCTTTAGGACTATGAGTGAGAACAGGTCCTAAGCTGGGAATCAACATGGTTGTATTTGCCAGAGCATGTTGAATGTTGACATTTCTAAGACCGAATGTAAATCATTTGTGAACACGGCCAGTAGTTATTTGAAATTCTTCTCCCAGAACCATGAAAAGTGTTTTCCCACCCTTAAAAAAAAAAAAAAAAAGGAAATAAAAAGCTTCTAACCATGATGCTAATGACAACCAGACGGCATGAGCAGTTTCTAAAGATTAGACAGTTGCTTGTGTAGAAACACTGTACAAATACTCCAACACTGCAGCCCAAAAAAAGACAATCCCCATCAAACAGCGGGAGAAGTGTGAAATTTGCAAATGAGCCCCTGGTTAAACAAAAACACCAATCTGTTCCCAGAGAGCGCAGGGTGGCCACCTGTTCGGGGCTGGTGGCAAGTTCTGGTTACCAACGGAAGAAATAACACTGGAGTGAGCGGTGACAACCCCCTCCCCGGCCCTGGCCCCCACCCTTGAGCCTATATTTAGTCTGCTCTTTATGGAAAATGTCCCAACCTCGCACACAAACAAGCTATCTGGTTGGTTATTCAAACGATCTCTTCTGCAGGGGGTGGCACTTGCTTTCCTTCCCTCCCCAGGTCCCAGACATAAGCACGATACCCGTTGTCTGGTGGGTCCAGTCCCTGTATCTTCCAGGGCCTTTCTGGTCATTTGTGACGAGAAAGGCCCTGGAAGATAGAGGGACTGGACCCACCAGACAATGCCAGTCCTGCCCCCCTGATGGGTGGTCATGCATCTTGGGGAAAGACATAGGCCCACACTATGAAACGGGACCCCAAAATCCCTCTGAGGCCGAGAAGCACAGAGCTTCCAGGCCAGGGCTCTCTGCAGCACACACAAAGCACTCGTACCCCTGAACAAAAATAACAGATGCTGCAAAGATTAGAGATTAACATCTGTAGAGTGCATTTTGTTTCTCAGAGAAAGGTACTTAACAAAGGGAAGGAATTATGTAGCTAAGCACCAGATCAGAACCTCAAACCCTGGATTTTAAAAATAGCTAAGCCTCATCCGCTTTGCCAGACTCAATCACTTAAGCTAAGGACTGGAAGGGTCTGGAGGACTGGGAAGGGGGCAGGGAGGGGGACACAGGTTTGCTAGAGTGTAGAGAAGCACAAGACAAAACGGTATCAGTGGTTAATACAAGCCAAAGTGAGACTCACAGACTATAAACACCTACTAGCATACGGAAAAAAAGGATGCAAAATAAGGGATTTTCATCTTAACAAAATAAAACACCTGGTTTAGGCAAAAAACAAGAGGTTGTAGTAAGAGGGCTGCAGGTTTTGTTCTGAAGGTTCCTGCAGCTGCCCTCACTGCTCCTCTCCCTTCTGGGTCACTTCCTTCGGTCCCACAACAGCTCTTTTAAGCTACTAGTAACATCTAGCTCCTCTCTTTACAGAAATTTCCTTTCAGCTTGGAAATATTGGTAACAAAGTGTGTCATCTGCCATATTATCATATAAGTGAATATTGAAGAATCCTATCTAAATATACCTGAGACTACATTAAAAAGCAACAATCTCCAAAAGGCACGAAGGTAAATCCGCAAAACCACAGAATGAGACTAGAAGGAAATGGACATCAGCTGCCTCCACCCTCCCCCCAGATTCTCTTGGCAGTGTCCATCCGCCATGCCACTGTGTCACAGAAACAAAGCCCAGTCGGGGGCAGATGCACCTGACAGCAGAGACTGAAGCACACCCTGAGAATGGCCCTGCATAGCAGGTGCACCTGAACGTGTGTTCGGGATTCTGAGCTAAGGAATCTGGGAGTGGCCAAAGCAGAGACTCATTCCTTATCGCTGAGGAACATCTAAGCCCCTAGCCTGTCCTGTGGAACACAGGCCATCCAGGGTACTGAGGCTCTTTGACTGGGTTAAAAGAAGGTCGCTGGGTGGTGGCTGCTGCGGGGTGTTGAGTGAAAATGCTGTCTCAACTGCACGCTTTCTGAAAGCAGGCAGCAGTGCTTCTCCTGCCCAGCCCGCCTCCAGCAACTGCTCCGTAGGTAAATTCCCCTAATAAGCCCTCTCTGTCTTTTGTTTGCTGGCTCTAGGTCTCTTCTCCAGTCTCTTGAATCTGGTGACATCCCTAATGAAATTTAAGGGGGTCTGGCCCGACAGGTCCCCTCACCTAGCATTCAACTCCTTTTCAAATAGCATCATGGAAACCACGTGAACACCAGCGTGAAACCATTCGAAACTGGTTTAAACTCCTCCTCCACCGAACTTAGCCTGTGTGACCACAAGTAACTCCCTGAGCCGCTGGCCTTTGGTATATTCACCTGCAACTCACAGTGCGCTGACAGGAAACCCTCTCCGCTGGC